GTGCTCCGCATTCGGAGGAGCTCCCTTCTAGGGCCACGAAGCGTGTGAGGGGTGTGCCAAAAGTTGTCCGGTGGGAGCATGCGAAACCAGCCCTTGGGGCCGTCGGTAGAATTCTCTATGAGGCCACGAAGCGCGTGAGAGGTGTGCCGAAATAGGTGCGGTGGGCGCATGCGAACGCAGCCACAGGGGCCGTCGGTGGAGCTCCCTATGGGGCCGCGAACGGTGATGGGTGTGCCGAAATGGGTGCGATGGGCGCATGTGAACGCAGCCACTGGCGCCGTCGGTGGAGCTCCCTATGGGGCCACGAAACACGTGATGGGTGTGCCGGAATGTGCGTGGGTGACGCATGCGGGCGGTGGCACTGGGGCCTTCGTTGGAGCTTCTTATGGGACCACGAAACGTGGGGGGGGTGTGACAACATGGGTGTGGGTGGCGCATGCGGGCGGTGGCACTGGCGCCTTCGGTGGAGCTCCCTATGGGGCCACGAACAAGTGAGGGGGGTGCCGAAATAGGGCGGCGCCGCCATGCGAACTGCGCCATGGGGCCCTTAGGTGGAGCTCCGTATGGGGCCACGCAACGTGTGAGAGGAGTGCCAAACTGAGGTGGGACCGCTATGCGCCGCTTGCCATGGCGCAGCTTGCGCAGCTTGCCACTGGGACCGTAGGTGGAGCTCTCTATATGTGCCCACGAAACGCGGGAGGTGTGTGACGAAAGGGGGCGGCGCCCCCATGCGAACTGCGCCATGGGGCCCTTAGGTGGCCCTCCCTATGGGGCCCCGAAACGTGTGAGAGGAGTGCCGAAATGGGGCGGCGCCGCCATGCGAACTGCGCCACTGGGACCTTAGATGGAGCTACGGGGCCACGAAGTGTCTGAGGGGTGTGCCAAAATGGGGCGGCGGCGCCATGCGAACTGCACCACTGGGACCTTAGATGGAGCGCCCTATGGGGCCACGAAGCGTGTGAGGGGTGTGCCAAAATGGGGGGCGCCCCCATGCGAACTGCACCACTGGGACCGTAGGTGGAGCTCCCTATGGGGCCACGAACCGTGTGAGGGGTGCGCCAAAATGGGGCGGCGCCGCCATGCGAACTGCACCACAGGGACCTCAGATGGAGCTCCCTATGGGGCCACGAACCGTGTGAGGGGTGTGCCAAAATGGGGCGGCGCCGCCATGCGAACTGCACCACTGGGACCTTAGATGGAGCTCCCTATGGGGCCACGAACCGTGTGAGGGGTGCGCAAAAATGGGGCGGCGCCGCCATGCGAACTGCACCACTGGGACCTTAGATGGAGCTCCCTATGGGGCCACGAACCGTGTGAGGGGTGCGCCAGAATGGGGCGGCGCCGACATGCGAACTGCACCACTGGGACCTTGGGGGGGCTTCGTATGGGGGCACGAACCGTGTGAGGGGTGCGCCAAATTGAGGGTGACGAGAGGAGAGAGGAGGGGGAAGGAGGAGGAAGGGGGGGGAGGAGGAGGAGAGGAGGGACGCGGGCCACCGTCTCTTCAAAACGAGGACCCAACACCACAGGATGGTTGGGAAAAAACACAAGCGAAAACCCAACTAGCGGACATCATGTATGGAAACAGTGATTCAAGCTCATTCCCGAAGGGTTTTGTGTTGCATCCCTTGCCTACCGCTGTCGTTTTATTCGGAACTAGGGCCCTTGGCCTTAGAGCTACGCCCCTCGCGAGGCCGCGGGTAAGAAGATACATCGACAATCTCCCATATCACAGTGGTAGCTTGGAGCGGGTCTCAACTGCCCGGCGCCGCGCGCCATTCATATCCTGGCGCTGCGCGCCATCTTGTGCAGCCACGACGAAGCCGTCGCGACCCACGGAATCGAAACCCAGCGGTTTTCTGCTCGCGCTGTTGCTCGGCGCGTACATCAGCGTCAGCGACGCTATCAACGCCTACTACTTTTCCGACAGCGTCAACGACGCCGTCATCAACTCCTACCCTGCCAATTCCTACGTCAGCGTCAGCGACGCCGACATCCACGCCTACTTCTCCGACAGCGTCAGCGACGCCGTCATCAACGCCCACTTTTCCGACAGCGTCAGCGACGCCGTCACCAACGCCTACTTCCCGTACGTCAGCGTCAGCGACGCCGACATAAACGCCTACTTCTCCCACGACAGCGTCAGCGACGCCGTCATCAACGACTACTCCGCCTACTTCTCCCAAGCCAGCGTCAGCGACGCGAGCATCAACGCCTATTTCTTCTACGCTAGCGTCAGCGACGCAAGCGACGCTTATTTCCCCTACGTCAGCGTCAGCGACGCCAGCATTAACGCCCACTTCTCCAATGCCAGCGCCAGCGACGCCAGAAAGCCACGGATCAACCTGACTGTTGCGTCTTGACAATCCTGAATCGTGCCAGAACACCATTCTTGGGACTTCAATTCAGCGAGCCAATATAATTGCTGCACCCGCATAATCATGACCCCTTTCAATGTACCATTCCTGACACGTGGATGATGGGAATCCGTGAACCTCTTGCTAATGTTTAGAACGAATGTACGCGGCTCTGATGCGAGAGCCACATTTCTGAACAGAACCGCTTTCAAACCGTGCAACTCGTGCAATTTGTTAGAACGAATGTGCGCCGCGCTAAGGCGAGAGCCACGTTTTGAAAACCACACGCCCGTGACCCGTGAAACTCTTGCAATTTGTTGGAACGAATGTGCGCCGCGCTGAGGCGAACGCCACATTTTGAAAACGACCCGCCCTCACTCCGTGAAGCCCGTGCACATTTTTGTCCACGAGTGTGCGCCGCGCTAAAGCGAGAACCACATGTTGAAAACGGCCCGCCCCGAATCCGTGAAAGACGACGGCGCGCGGCGCTGACGCGAGCGCCACATGTTGAAACCCGAACCACCTTCGGTACATGCTGGTCGCGCTTCTGCACGAGGCCCCCCGGGGCCGCTTTTCGCGGCGAGGGTGGCGCGGGGGAGCGGACGCGGAAAAGGATAAGCGACGGGGGGACGCGGGGGATAATAGTGGCCCAATGTAAACACATACTGCACGACACCACGATTTCGTCACTCTCACCAACCAGCTAGACCAGTTAACCACAGGCCCGTGCTGTAAACGGACCTGGGTGCTCGCGGGAGCCGATGTGCACCATGGGCCTGGGGGTCGAAGCAGACCGGCGGAGGCCCCGACCTGCGTGGGGGTGAGGACAGGACCATGGGATCTCCGAGATTTCGCGCCCCCTCCCCCTATTTCGAGACGTTCTCCGGGTCCCCTCGTCAGTGCATGCGTGGGGCCATGATTTATGGACGCCCCTCTCTTGGACAGTCCCTTCGTGGACGCCCCGAGACCGCTGGGGGGTCAGTGCGGGATGTGCTGCTCTTCCCACGGGGCGCATGTATCGGCCCTGTGGTCACCCGCGGTCGCCCCCCCCCCCCCCCCCTCACTGTCGAAGAGAATGGACAAACGACATCAGCATAGACTTTCGGAGCCCATTTGCGGACTTCTTGGACGGGCGCTGGGACGCGCCCCCAGGGAAGTCCGCGCCGATCTAAAAGCTTTGTTCGGAGCTCCGAGAGTTTGTGCTTACGCGGTTGTTCGCTCCTGTATCCTCCTCTTTTTCCTCCTTTTCCTCCTTATTATCTTCTTTCTCTTCCGCCTCCTCCTCTTCCTCCTCCGCCTCCTCCTCCTCCTCCTCCTCCTCCCCCTCCTCCTCCCCCTCCTCTCCCCCTCTTCAAACAGGAAGAGCAGTAAGAAAGAGTAGCAGCGCGTGGAGTAATGTGGTGTTTGTGGTCGTGGTGGTGGTGCATACTCCACCTTTCCGACATTCGACGTTGTGTCGCAGGTGGCTCCCCACAGAGATCTGGACTTCTTCCCAGGGACCGGCTCTTCATCCCATGACGCGAGCATGTCTGGCTTTCGAGCTATGAATCGGACCTCCAGCGGCCGTTCGGGGCGATCCTGGCACCCCTGAAACGCCCCTGGCGAGGCGCAGCTGCTGGAATGCATGCCGAGTCAGGAAAACCGTTTGGGGACCGACGAGAACGCTCGACACCTCGGACCTCGAATCGGCATGTGTGCGTCTGCGCCCCAGGGACGACGCGCGCGTTGATACATTTTATCGGAGGTTGGGGGCTGACAGGCTGAGATCGAAATAGACCGGAGAGCCCCCCACCGGGAAATCGGTTTCGGTTTCGTGTTCGTGCGTGCCGTGCGTGCGGGCGAGGCGAAGTTGCATGGGCGGGCGAGAGGAAAGTCTCCTGTGGTTGAGGCGCGGCCGGACCAAATGATTCTCCCTCTGGCAAGCGATGGCCCGCGGTGTCCCGCCCGTGTCCCGCCCGTGTCCCGCTTGTGGCTGGGTCCCGGCTGGACCAAATGATTCTCCTTCTCTGGCAAGCGGTGGCCCGCGGTGTCCCGCCAGTGCCCCGCCGGTGTCCCGCCGCTGTCCCGGTGTCCCGCTGGTGCGAAAACGATAGTGAGACCGATGACGAAATCGATTGTGAGATCGATAGTGAGATCGATGGTGAGACCGATAGTGAGATCGATAGTGAGACCGATAGTGAGATCGATCGTGAGATCGATAGTGAGGTCGATAGTGAGATGAATAGTGATATCGATTGTGAGATCGTGTGATATCGATAGGGAGATCGATAGTGGGGTCGATAGCGAGATCCAGAGTGAGATCGACAGTGAAATCGATCGAGTGAGATCGATAGTGAGATCGATCGAGTGATATCGATAGTGGGATCGATGGTCCCAAGAACGAGGGGCAACGCAACAATCACCTCTGTTGCCCACTGCTGGCCCCCCTCCCACCCCCAACCTCCTTATCACCCGCAGGGTGGTCGTATAGGTAGTACATGCTCGGTGGCGGCTGATTTCTGGCCATTCTCGACGTGAGCCTCCACGGGGGACGCATAGTACTAGTATGTTCTTCTGCGTCTGATCACACCTTGAACCGACCTGGTGTATACTTCGAGGGATGTCTGGGTGCATGCTCCCCCGCCGCTGCGGTTATGCCCACAGGTGCCCGGCGCCTTCGCCTTCGGCTGCCTTTCGGATTGGGGCCCTTCTGCCCGGCTGTTCGCGCAGCCCTCGCCGCCGCCTTCGGCGAGAATCAACCACAACGGCGGGGGCTCGGGCAGGGCCGCGCGGGAGGAAGACAGGGCTGTGGCCAGATGTCGGACGACTTGATTTTTCAAGCCGGGCGTGCTTTCGCGATTGTGAAGGCCTTACGGCCGGTGCCGCCGACCCTGAAGAGGACGGCGAGGACGAGGAGGAGGAGGAGGGGGAGGAGGACTAGGAAGAGGAGGCGGAGGACGCGGTGGAGCAGGAGGAGGGGGAAGGATGAAGATGAGAATGCGGAGGATGAGGAGGACTCCGGAGGATGCGGAGGATGATGATGATGAGGAGGAGGAGGAGGCAGAGGAGGATGAGGAGGATGCCGGACGACTTGATTTTCTCAAGCCGGGCGTGCTCCCTCGATTATTCGGCCTCTGGGGGACCCGTTGTCGGGCCCCGGGGCCACTAGACGTGTGGGTCCAGGAGAAAAGACCGGCCTCGGGGGAGGGGTTCGGGACCTTCTGGGGGCCTCGCTTCGGGGGAAGTATCTCGTCGGCTGTCTGTGTATGCAGAACCACCCTGCTCCTCTCCCCCCTCCTGGAGGCCCCTCCTCCCAGAAGGAAGGAAATCAGTTCAAGGAGGAGAGGGTGCTCGGGGGGCCCTGTTTTGGGCCTCTCTTGGGGCTCTCTCGGGCCAAGTTGGAGCAGTCGTGAGGCTTCAGAAGCCCGTCGGAAGCGAGAGCGCTAAAATGCGCATGCCTTCACGCTTCGAATATCCCCATCAGCCCATTCACAAACCCTGCCCATGAGAGCTGACGTGAAAATGTTCGAAGAGACAGATGTAGTGAAATAAAGCGGGCAACCAGGGTGAACAGTGAGATCTCTGGAGCAAGGAGGCGGCCTTGGACGGCCTCTTCGGGCCTTGGCGGAGGAGGAGGATGAGGAGGGGTACAACCATGACGACGAGGACGAGGAGGAAACAGACAAGCAAACCGATGAGGAAAAGGACGAGGACGAGGAGGAGGAGGAGGAGGAGGAGGAGGGGGAGGAGGAGGACGAGGAGGAGGAGGAGGAGAAGGAGGCGGAGGAGGACAACGAGGACGAGGATGAGGACAGAGCCCTCGAAATCACCTCTTGGAGCCCTCTTGGATCTCGTTTGGGGCGATCTTGGGGCCTCTTGGGGCTCTTTTTGGGGGTCTTGGGGTCCTCTTGTGGCTCTCTTAGGATCTCTTGGGTGCCCTGGAGGGCCTATTGGAGCTATCGGGGAGGGCGTTGGTGAAAATAGAACGGTTGTAACGCTTGGTCCCCCCTCTGGGGTCCTCGAAATCGCCCCTTGGGGCCCTCTTGGGGCGCTCTTGGGGACGTCTGGGGGGGCCTCTTGGGCCCCCTCTCAGGCCTCTCTTGGGCCATCTTGGGGTCATCTTGAGGCCTCAAAAGCGCATCGGAAGCGAAACGTCGAGAAGGATAAAATCATTGATGTTCCCTAGATTTTCGAAGGAATTTGGTCGCTTGGGTGGAGTCCTGCGGGGGCTCCCAGAGCACTTGGAGCCATCTTGCGGCCCTAGTCGGGCCTCTTGGAGGCATGTCGGAAGATGTGTCGAACCATCGTCGGCTATCTTGAGCCGCCTTGGAGGCCATCTGGCCGCATCGGGGGCAATCTTGGAGGCATCTTTGGCGAAGAAACGATCCCCAAATATATGTGGCCCGCTACAAACACCCTGAGGGAAGGGAGGGGGAGGGTATCCTCCCCTCCTCCCCGAAGCGAAGAGGGGTTTCGGAAGAAGAAAGGACTCGTTAGATCACCCAAAGGGCTGGTGGGATTCAATTGCTTCCTTTCGATGCCCAGCGGATATGGGCCGGGCCTCTTGGGGGCGGCCTTGGGCCTTGGGAGGCTCCGTGGGCACTTGGAACACTGGGGGCGGTTTTTGGGCCTCCTGGAGGGCATTTTGGAGGACATCGTGCTGTAAGTATGACTGTTTGTTTCCCACCGTGCGGAACTGGCGAGCTCCCCGCAGGGCGATTATGGTCAAGACGCCGAAATACGGACCACTTCGGGCTCATAAGGGGCTCTGGATTTCAGGTCGTTCCTTAGACCTACTTGTTGAACCCATTCGTGGCCGAGGCACGCCGTGACCAGAAACGCCCCTGCGTTCCTCCAGGCCTGCCAGATGGGGTCGGAGCAGACGGGGTCGGAGGACCGTGCCCATTCGCCGATGCATCGGCGATGCCGCTCGATTGCGGAGCCCGGTTTTCTCCACGCCGACGTCGCCTGAGCATCGCCGATGCATCGCCGATGCGTCGGCGATGTGGCACGATCCTCCGACCCCATCTGAGCGACGGAAGAAGATGGTTTGTCTTCGCCGACATTTGCGCGCAAGCTGCCCGCGTAAGGTCGTGCGTGAGCGCCCCCTCGCTTCCAGTGTGGCGTGCCGCGCTGGCGGCCTGCGTAAGCCGCGGCGTGAGGTCGCCACACCATCTCGCGTAAAACCACTTTCTTTTTGTCGCGAGAAGTTTTCTCTGTCCTCGGGGAAGGCTTAGAACTTCTCAGCATGCCCGAGGCCTTCCGAGCCTTCAGTCTCGCCCCGCCCCCTTACTCGCCGCCGACCATCTGCTCCGACCCAATCTGGGAGGCCCCTTCGCTCCTTGCTCGGCGCTCCCTCTGGCAGCACGGTGGCCGTGGCACCGCCTCACGGCGAGGGCGGACCCGCCGCCTCGTGGTGAGGAAGCCTCTCTTCGGCCGCCCCCTGGGCTTGGGGATGGCCGGGAACACGCTGCACGTTGAGCAGGTCTCAGCGGAGATCGGAGGGCCTCTTCGGGCCATCTTTGGGGCCCACCTGGGGGCGAGGAGGAGGAGGAAAGGAGGAGGAGGAGGAAAGGAGGAGGAAAGGAGGAGGAGGAGGAGGAGGAGGAGGAGGAGGAGGGCCAGACTACGACACGACGACTGCCACCAGCACGACCACCATCGATGCCATCACCACCGCGACCACGACAAGGGCCGCACGACAACGACCGCCTCTAGCACGACAACGACCACCACCGCGACCTGCGCCAGCACGACGACCTCACCGCCCCTGCCCCTGCGGCCCACCCCGCCCCCGCGACGAAGACGTCGACGTCCCCCACGGCTTCTTCGACCGCCCCAGCCGCCCCCCGCTCCCCGACCCCCCTTCTTCTTCCCTCCTTCCCTCCCTCCGCCTGGCCGCCCCAGCTGCAGCATTGCTCCTTTCTCCCCCTCTCCTCTTCGCCTGCTGCTCCTCCTCCTGTGCCGGATTTTTACTCGCCGCCCTAGGTGTAACTAATGCTCTTTAATTCAAAGCCCCGCCTGCGTCCCCACGGGTCCCCTTGGCGAAGGGGGAGGGGGCCAACTCTGGCGCCCGTGGGTCTTTCCGCCGGGAGGGAGGGAGGGAGGGAGGGAGGGAGGGAGGGAGGGAGGGAGGGAAGAGGAGGAGGAGGAGGAGGAGGAGGAGGAGGAGGAGGGGGAGGAGGGGGAGGATGATGAGGATTATGATGATGATGATGATGAGGATGATGCTGCTGCTGATGATGCTGATGATGATGATGATGCTGATGATGATGATGATGATGATGATGATGCTGATGATGATGATGATGCTGCTGCTGCCGCTGATGAAGATGATGATGATGATGATGATGATGATGAGGATGAGGATGAGGATGAGGATGAGGATGAGGATGAGGATGAGGATGAGGATGAGGATGAGGATGAGGATGAGGATGAGGATGAGGATGAGGATGAGGATGAGGATGAGGATGAGGATGAGGATGAGGATGAGGATGAGGATGAGGATGAGGATGAGGATGAGGATGAGGATGAGGATGAGGATGAGGATGAGGATGAGGATGAGGATGAGGAGGAGGAGGAGGAGGAGGAGGAGGAGGAGGAGGAGGAGGAGGAGGAGGAAGCTGCCTCTTGGGGTTCTCGTGGGACGCTCTTGGGACGCTCTTTGGGCCGTCTTGGGGTCCTCTTCGGCTCTCTTGGGGCCCTCTTGGAAGCCCTGGGGGGCCCTCTTGGCCCTGGGGGGCCTCTTGAGGCCATCTTGGAGGCAATCGATCAAATGAGGGGGTCCCCGATGTTAGTCCCCCTTCTGGGGCGCTCGACATCGCCTTCTGAGGCCCTCTTGGGGCGCTCTCGGGCCGCTTTTGGGCGCTCTTGGGGCCGTCTGGGGGTCTTCGTGGGCCCATCTTGGGCCTTTCTTGAGACATCTTGAGGCCATCTTGAGGTCTCAGAAGGCGCCTCGGAAGCGAAATGGTGAGAAAGCAAGCATCATGGATGCTCCTTCTGATTTTGAAGGATCTTGGAGGGGTCCTGGATCATCGGCGTCTTGGAGGGGTCCTGAAGTGGCTCCGAGAGCACTTGGGACCATTTTGTGGCCTTCGTCGGGCTTTGTGGAGGTATGTCGGAAGCTAATTTGAACCATCGTCAGCTTTCTGGAGCCATCTTGGAGGCCATCCTGGAGCATCGGAGGCCCACTTGGAGCCGTCTTGAGCGAACAAGGTAACCCTCCCCGAAAGAAAGAGGGCTTTGGAAACGGAGCGAAATATATCGCTAGACCACCTTAGCCGAAAGGGCTGGTGTTTTTTTCCAGAAATCTGAGTTTCCTTGTGCTTGTGCTTAATTTGTCCCTCCTGAGGGGGCCCCTTCTGCTCATGAGTCGATCCCCTGGCAGCGGTTGGTGGGGGCGGAGCTCCCAATCGGTCGGTCGGGTTGCCATTCTACGGGCTGCCCCAGACAGGCTCGGGTCGGACGAACGGCGGGGGTAGGCAAAAGGGGGGGTCCAGGATTCTCATGTCGCAACTCGTGGTAGCCTCCCATGTCATCTTGCTGGCACTTGCGAATAGGCGCTAACTGGCGCTAGTCGACGCCCAACTGACGCTAATGCGAGGCTAAATCGGCGATTTCTCGTGGATTCCCAGACGCTAGCCCACACTAATGCACTCTAGAGAGAAGTGCGAGGACACACAAGGCTCCCATGAGTTGGTAGCGAATGCTCCTGAATCGATTCTCAAACTCGGAGAACTTCCTCGAGTCTACGCGCCAGGAACTATTGCTTACTGAGCGTGTCGCGGAGGCGGCCCTGGCGACACGTTATGCCGTGCCGAGCTGCGTTGGAGAAATTTGGTACGCTGACGCTTGGGAGTCGGGGCGCGGTTATCGTGTCGCGCCGAGGCGAGCGGGCCCGAACCAGCGTAGCGACACGGCAAGCAAAAGTTCGCGACCGCAGCTCCTGCTCCGAGGAGCAGCGCCAGCACACCTGGTCATAGCTCGGCTCTCCAGCGGCCGTTCGGGACGATCCGGGCACCCCAAGGACGCCCTCGGCGAGGCGCTGCCGCAGGAAAGCATGCCCCGAGGCTGGAGAGAACCTCGAAGCTCAGTCCTTCACGAGCGGCGAACATATCCGTAGCCGCGCCCTCGCGGTCTGGACTCTGGGGCATGATCCCGTGGATGCGCGGTCGCACGGATGCCTTCCGTGCGGGGCATCCGCGAGCTCGCGGCCCAAGGGGCCCAGCCTGCAAGGCCGCGGATGCGGACCACCCCGGCAGAGTTTTCAACACGGGGTCCCGGGAAGTCCTTACCCTTGGGCGCCGCGGAAAGCACAAGACATGCGAAGGCATTCCTTGCTCCCTCCAGCTTGGGCTTCTGCGGGGGTGGGGGGCGTGCAGAGATGCGATGTCCTGTCCTGCTTCTTTGTCCAGACGGGGTCCCCGGAAGTCCCGAGACTCTTTCTCTGGGGCCAGCTGTTCCTCCTCGAGTCGTTTTTTGACGGTCCTCTGGGGCCTGGCGAGGGCATCTGGAGGCCGACAGCGGCCAAAAATGGAGGCCGACAGCGGCCAAAAGTCTCCCCGTAATTTGTGTGTTATTTGTTTCCTTTTCTCACGGCGCGCCTCGCCGATGCATCGCTGGTGTATCGCCGACACGCTGCCGATATGCCAGTACATCGGCGATGCCGTGCAATCCTCTGCCCCCGTCTGCTCGACCCCCATGTGGGATGCGTCTGCCCCCGCCGGCGTTGATGTCGATGGGTGTGGAGGGCAGGCTGCGCGCTGCTGCCCGCAGAAGGCCCCTGCGGCGCCCAGTCCCCAGGCGCCCTCCTGCAGCCCCAGGCGGGCCCCTGCCGAGCGCCTTCGCTGCGTGGCGGCCGCCCTCGCGCTGCTCTCTGGCACTCCGTGGTTCTTGGCATCGCTCGGTCGTGTACATAGCGAGGACCAACGAGGAGCATCTTGGATCATCGTGCGAAACATTGCCGCGTGAAGCCGAACAATGCACGGGGAATACACGTCCGAGCGATGACGAAGGTTCCGTCCTCTGGGTTCGAGGTTCGAGCCCAGATCTCCGAGAACGTGTTTTTTTCAATCCTGGCGAGGTTCCTCGATTTCGGCCTCCAGGACCTGTTATCAGGCATCGGGGCCATCAAAATCGGATCCGGGGTGCAACATCTCCCCGCGGAAGAGGTCGGGACTTCATGGGGCCGCGGATTGAACAACATCAGATTGGAGGATGTCAGGGTTCCGTCTTCGGTCGGCCTCGTCGTCGTCGTCGTCGTCGTTCTCCTCCTCCTCCTCCTCCTCTTCCTCGGTTGAGGTTCTAGGGCGTTTTCGGAGGTTCCCCGAGGGTTTCGAGCCTTGGGGTGCTTCCCAGGGTCTGCGCCTCGCCGAGGGCGTTCTGGGGATGCCTGTATCGTCCCGAACGGCAGCCGGAGAGCCGAGCTATGAGCTGGAATCCACCATGGTCACCAGGGGACCGGTAGGTTGGCTGGCTGGCTGGCCAGTCGGTCGGTCGTTCGGTGTCGCCGTCGTCGTCGTCGTCGTCGTCGTCGTCGTCGTCATCGTCCTCGTCGTCGTCCTCGTCGTCGTCCTCGTCGTCGTCCTCGTCGTCGTCGTCGTCGTCGTCATCGTCGTCGTCGTCTTCGTCGTCGTTCGTCGTTGCCGTCGTCGGAGGAGGGTTTGGGGGGGGTGCGGAGGGAATGGGGAAGGAGGACGAGGATAACGAAAATCATCGAGGAGGGAAAGGAGTTGGCATGGAGAGTGCGCGCGGGCGGGAATGAGGAGTGGAGGGGGATGGGGGTGCATGAGGAGGCGAGGCGAGGTGGATAGTGATCATGAATGATGATAATGATCATGTTGATGATGGTGACGATACTGTTGATGATGAGGATGGTGATGATGTTGATGATTAACATGCTGATGATGCTGATGATGACGGTGATGATGATGATGATGATTATGATGATGATGATGATGGTGATGGTGATGGTGATGGTGATGGTGATGGTGATGGTGATGGTGATTGTGATGGTGTTGGTGATGGTGATTGTGATGAGGATGATACGATGATGCTGCTGATGATGATGACGATGACGATGACGATGTTGATGGTCATGCTGATGATGATAATGATGCTGATGATGGTTATGATGATGATGATGATGATGATGATGATGATGATGTCTGCCATGATGATGCTGCTGATGATGATTATGATGATCATGATGATGATGATGATGATGATGATGATGATGATGATGATGATGATGATGATGATGATGATGCTGATGCTGATGATGTTGATGCTGCTGATGATGATACTGCTGTTATTGTTGTTGTGGTTGTGGTTGTTGTTGATGATGATCATGCTGATGGTGGTGGTGGTGGTAGTGGTCGTGGTGATGCCATGGTGACGATGGCACATACCACCGCTATGGCAACGACGAGTGTTGGTGATTACTTCTCAGTGTCTTTCGTTGTCGTCGTCTGCGTGGTTGTCATTATTCCTCCCCCTCCTAAGCCATCCTCCTTCATTCGTCTTTCTATTTCTGTTCCTTTGCCTCCTCCTCCCTTCACCCTCCTCCTTTCCTCCAAACTCCTCCCGCTACCTTTCCGGTCCTCCCTCCCCTCCTTTCGCTCCCCTCGCTCAGCTCCTTCGTTCTTGTGTGCTTGCCTACTTCTTGTTTCGTCCTTCTAAACATTCGCCTGGGCGACGCAGTAGCCAGACAGACTGGGGTGCCAGAGCAAGTGCAACATGGTCGATGCTTTCGCTTCGACCACGTGAGGACCCTCCCGTGGGGTCGCCGCTCCACTTCCCCCCCATCCCGCCCCCCTCCCCTTCAACAGTATCCCCCTCCCTGTAGCTTGACGCATGCGGAAACGGATGAATCCGCCCAATCGGCGGGCCCAAAAAATGATCATTTCGTGGTCGGCCTGAGCAGCGCCGATGGATCGCGCGACATGACATTCTCCTGACGTCTCGCCGCCAGTGGCGACGGCAGAGTCTTCCGCTTCCTCTTCTCCTTCTCCCCCTCCCCCTGAACCCTCCTGCTCCCCTGGGAGCTCCCCCTGCTCCCCTATCGTTCCAGCCTGTCTCGTTGCGCGCCCGATTCCGTTGCTATATCGCCCCACATTGTGGCAGCGCTATGGCCCACGCGGTGATTACAGCCGCAGGAGCTGGACCGTCTTGCGGAGCTTCGGGACAGCAAGAGGCGCATCCCTCACGGTCCAGTCTCTCTTCGGTGAGGGGGCGCCCCTCGACAGATGCGCACAACGCAGCGTGTTGTCTTCGGCCAGGCCGAGAGGCTTGGCAACGAATCAACTCGCTGTTTTTTCCCAGCCGTCCTGTGGTGTTCGGTCATCGTTTTGAAGGCACGGCGCCCCGCGTTCCTCCTTCCTCCTCCTTCCTCATTCCTACTCCCCGTCCTTCTCCTCCCCTCCCTCCTCCCCCCCCCTCCTTCCTCCCCCATCCATGCCTCTGCCCCCCGCATGCCCATTTCCGACCGCGACTCACACGCTTCGTGGCCCCATAGGGATCTCCACGGAAGGCCCCAGATGCACAGTCCGCATGGCGCACCCGCACCCTATTCAGCACACCCTTCACACGTTTCGTGTCCCCATAGGGAGCTCCACCGAAGGCCCCAGTGGCACAGTCCGCATGGCGTACCCGCATCCTATTCAGCACACCCCTCGCACGGTTCGTGGCCCCATAGGGAGCTCCACCGAAGGCCCCAGTGGCAGAGTCCGCATGGCGTACCCGCATCCGATTTGGCACACCTGATAAGTTTTATGGCCCATCGATAACGACTCTCACAGTGGCAGGTTCAAGAATCGCGCACAGCAAATAAAAACCGGCGTGCCGACCCATCCGCTATCGAACCGAGCGAACTTCTGTGGTTTGTACAAATCTTTGTCTTCACCACATCTTGGAGCGATGTTCTGTTCTGATTGCGGGCGTAAGAACGACGAGTGCCAGTGCCGGCGTTCACGGAGCCGGGGTAAGGAGGATGACAAAAAGGAGCTGAGCGATGGGGAGGGGGAGGTTAGCACCAAGGATTTGATGAGGTTCCTCAAGAAGATGGACAAGAAGCAGGATGAGACCAACCAGCGCATCCAGGTGATCGACGAGAAGGCCAACAAGGCAGTAACTGCTGCCGAGAGCGCGGAGTCCAAGGCCGAGGAGGCGCTCCGCATCGCGAAGGCTGCAGCAGGGAAGGCGGAGTTGGCTACTGCCGCATCGGCCAGGGCATCCTCGACCCCTTCACCATCTTCTGACACTTCTCAGCCCTCGGCTACTCCATACGAGCTTAGGACGATCGCAGTTATCGGCAATCTCTGTTGGGACTTACCTAATCAGCAGCTCGTTGCGCGTGCCCGAGAGGTCCTGTCTTCCGCGTGTGTCGACCCGAGCGATTACACGAACCTTACGGCCGTCATCGGCAAGGGGGGCCTGGGCAGCAGGGTTGAACTATGTTTTAAGCGCCCCGAGCGTCTTCAGGAAACTCGTCTCGCCGTACGGGCCCTTGCCAAAACGTATACAGGTGAGGGGTCAGCAAAGTCTGTCTGGTTGGACGCCAAGAAGGAGAGGGCTGAGTTAAAGCCGGGCCGCATCGTTCATCGCATGGCGGAGTGTCTGACCGACCTCGAGGCGGGCAGATCCGACAAAATGCCTGTCGAGAAGTGCCTCAACGGTAAGCTCATCAAGGTGGGGGCGAATCGCGTCGGCTACACGTTCAAAGGAGAGTGGAAGTGGACCGTCTGGGCCCTGGAGCGGTACAGTGCCGAGACGCGCGAGATGGCGAAAGCCTGCGCCGAGAGCGATTGACTAGGCCTCCAGAGGGCCGGAGTCCAACTTGCATCAATTAACGTGGGGCGTACCGCGGGTACGCAGGAGGGGTTTCAAGCTGTGCTTGGCGTTGTCACTGCGTCTGCATCTCCGAGGCGGACGCCCTCTTCATCTCCGAGGCGGACGCCTATCAGGATAACAGGCCCGGCGATCATCACACTCATACCGTTTATCGCCATTACCCTGGAATTGGTTCGTGGGCTATGGCTTTCGTAATTCGGAAGGGGATGGGGCTGGTTGTCAAGACTTGCACGTGGAGGGGAAGATGTGGGGCAATACATCTTTTCAGGAGGGGTGATTTACACAATCCAACAGTCAATTTATACACTCTGGGCGTTCACGGAGCACACGGGGATCTGCTTCCTGACACACTCGGGGACCTCTCATACTTACTACGTCGACGGCCATTCGGGTCCACAGTTGCCATCGTCGGCGACTTCAACATCGACATGCTGCCGGATTGCGCGGCAGACCCATGGAGCGGTGACATCGGCCGTGGGCAAGGCCATGCTGATCGGCGTTTTCTCCTCGAAGCATTCGTTGAACGGTTGAATTTGCAATTGCACTTACCTTCTATATCTTATGGTGTTCCTGGTGGGCCTTTTGCAGAGCAGTGCATCGTCGCGCCCATCAGCAGGATACCCACTGGAGAGTTGGCATCAAGCACGAGGCCGAGTCTATTAAGTTACTTCATTGCCACCCGAGGCCTTGTTAGATCTGTCGGAGTTCATTCCCTGCAGACCATGCCACCGTTGTCACTGATTGCACACCGGCTTACGTGAAGCGTGAGGCGGCGAAAACCCGGTGGAAGTGCATCGACGCAGATGGTTGCGTGGATCGGATGAGAGCACACTGTCCTTCTTCTTTATGCGATCTCGAGGGGGGTCCACGCTTTCTTGATTGAGGCCCAGACCGTTTGGGGCGACCGTCGCTCCTGCGCAGCCCGGAGGGCCAGCAGAGCCCCACCTCAGCTTCGCGAGTTGTAGGCGCAGAT